CCCCCCCCCCCCCGCCAGTACTTGGCCAGGCACAGATTTATTATGAACATCCCATCATCCCCAAAGCAGAGCAATATCTGCAGCTGCTGGGAGGACCAGACAGGGCATACAAGTACCCCCGGCTCCTGCTACCCCTAAAACCATGGGTGATGCATGCAGGACGGGGAACCATCACACCCCCGCTGCCAAGCCAGGGAGGAGGTCGTTCTCAATGCTGCCTCCCAACCCACCTTTTACAGAAGAAAACAAGAAAAACACGGCATTTTAAAGCAGCATCTGGCTTTGATGTAACAGCCCTCTTTGCAAGGTTAACTGCATTGAAGTCTGTGGAAAGGCAGGGCTGGATTCACAAAACTGCTTGCAAGGGGCCTTACTCACCTAGGTTTTATGTTAGGAGGGTCAATACCAAAAAAAAAAAAAAAAATCCTTTCAGCCGTACTGAAATGTACTGTTTTGGGAAACAAATCAAAACGCCTTGTTCCAATGTTGACTTTGAAAGTTTTATGTGATTTAGACCATATGACAGTGCAAAATAAAGGCAAAAAAGGCATCTAGAAAGGAAAAAACAGAATTTTCTTCTGTTGAAACACAGAGACAAGGCTCCTTAACATCGTGCCGGGGGTTTATGTCATTTGGGGCTTTTTTTTTCTTGCCCAAATTGAATTTCTGTACAATCAAACATGGTTTCTCCAACCTGCTCCATCTCTCATAACTGCATTCACTACCAGAGAAGGAGCCCGGGGGAGATTCATGACACCACAGGTTTCTTCTCCCCCAGCCCCCAACCCTGGCTGCTCTCCTGTAGTTCTGCCACGAAGAAACGCACCCTGGGAACAAATATCACCCCTCCTCAAGAAAAACTCGAAATACCTTCCTCCTCCCCAGCCTCCTTCCTCATCCGTAGCAGCATCCCTGGGTGTTTGAGCTGTACATTTAGGGCAGAAAGCCTCTTTTAGCAGATTTCTGCCATGCCCAAACACTGAGGTTGCTGCTTGGGGCAGGGGTGGGCAACCCCAGGTCCTGCAGCGTGACCTCATCCACGCTCCAACACCACTCTGAAGGGACTGCTGCTTGCAGGGAGCACAGTCCTAGATCTCCATCCATCTTCAGGAAGACACCCAGAGAGGAAGTCACCCCATGCAGGGACCCCTTTTTCTTGCAGCAGCCCCATAACCAGCCATGCCAGGCTCTGTTTCAGCTGTCCACCCTGCTGAGAAGCCCATCCGGGCTCAGAGGGGAACCAGGGTAGCGGTTGGTGGAGTGTCACTCACTCGATAGCAGGCATGTTCGGGGCAGACATGGGGCTGACTTCTTTGGCTTTCTGAAGGGCATGCTTCTGGTTAAAGGCCTCCTCTTCCTCCTGCTCATCCTGCGGGGGGGAAGAAGGGAGTTGCTTAGTGGAATGCTGGGGTTTCAAGGGAAGGTACAGCCATCAGAGGCAGCAACGGATGAGCGGCGCTACCTTAGATACCAAGGCGTGCAGGAGAAAAGGGGAGCAGGCACCTGTATTTCCAGAGACAGCTTTTATTTTATTACGGGGACACAACTTCCCCATGATGCCAGGTCTTACTGAAGGCGTCAGCACTACTTAAATAAGTGAACCCAGCCCACTCCAGGCAAAAGCCTGTCTGTGCACACTAGAATAGCCCCAGACGGCATAGATCAGCTCAGCCCTCCCTTCTTCACAGCCACAGGGGCGAGACAGGCACCCCCCGATGGAGTGGGAAGCAAGGCATCCATGAATGACCCCGGCAGAGACCGTATTGCTTTAATGAGTATGGTTGTGTCTCCAGAGCAAAAAATGTCATTAGGAGTCATTAGTGTGCATTCAGCCTTTTCAAAAACTCAGCGCTCCCTTAATTGATGCTGCTGGTACGCCGTGGGGCTCTCCCACCCATCTCTCCCCACCGTCAGCTGGCAGCCCCTGGAAGTACCACCTGCACTCACTGCAGGATGACAGGATGACAGGGACCCCCGCACGCACCCCTCAGGCAAACAAGCACCATGCCCCATTTCTGTTGCTGCTAATGGGTCAGATTTGCATCAGCACAGAAATCTCTCAGTAAACCCCAAGGACCTGAGTAATAGGCATAGGGTCTGCAAAAAAAAATGGCACCATGGGAGCGCTGGTCCTCTTCGAAGAGCAGCAACGACCCTCGCAGCTCTCGCCTACTCACTGTTACCCAGATGGTGCCCCAACATTTTAGCATTCCCCAAATATTTCCCAGCACGGTCTTAAAAACCAGCTAAGCCAAATAACCTTCTCAAGCACCATCCTAAATTGCAACCTAAATCATGTCCACTGCCCTGCGGGCAGATGGGGAACAAATACCGACACCACTTGGAAAGCACTTCCCACTTTGCATCTCCAGAGCGCTCGGGCAAATAACTGTCCTCACATCAGACCCCATCAGATAGATAAGGGTTGTCTCAATCTGACTGGAGGCAAATGAAACTGGGGAGCTTAAATGGAGAAACAGTTAACCCACACTTGATGGGAAGTGTGGGTCTTTCTGGAGAGACATGAGACTGGCAGGTTTAAGCACTTCGCTGAATCAAAATCTAACTGGCTTTGCCCAGTGATATGGGTTTGTGTTTCAGGGGAGCACCCTGTGTACTCTCCTGGAGGAAGAGTCTGCATTTCCAACTTGACCTGTCCTCTTTTTCAAGGCAGGCTGAGCTAAGGGACAATGCCGCCCCAGCTCTGGAGTGAGGACAGTCACAGGCAGTGCTCCCAGTGCCCTTCCTGCTGGCCCCATCCTTCACCATCCTCACATCAGAAAGAGAAGAAAGAGGAACAACCAGAATGTACCTTGGTGAGCTCCTGAGCGTTGGCCAGGTTGTCCACCGCAATGGCCAAGAACACATTCAGCAGAGTATCTGCGAGCTGCTAAGGATGCACAAGGCACGTGTTAAGGACATGGGTGTCTGCAGCCACTAAGGAAGGGCGGCCCTGACGGCTTCTCACCAGCTTAGTGAGGAGCAGGCAAAGGGACAAACTCCTCACCCACCCCATATATACAGCCCTCAATGCATCTCCAGACAGCTCCTTCTCTGTGTTTGGGATATCCAGGGCTGCCGCACATGTGATGGGTCTCCCTCAACTGGGAGAGGAGGAAGGACCAGTGGGTGGGGAGGAGGATGCCCCCAGAGAGGGTGATGAGATGGGGTTGTCTCCACTAAAAACACAGCAGCCAGGTGGATACAGTTTCCAAACAAGGTGAGGACGATGAAATAGATGGAGGACCACATGCCTGAGCGAACACCTCCTTGGGAGCGGATGCCATTGTACATCACCTCGTTCCAGTCCTCACCCGTCAGGATCTGCAGGAAAGCAAGCCAGCAGCTCTGTCACCCGCACCCTCTCATCACCTGGACAGCCCCCTCGATCTACCCCACCAGGACACAGGAGCCATGTACAGAGATCCTGTGCAGTGGATAACCCAGCTCCACAGCTGCAGCACTTGAGGGACATTGCTGAGGCTTTAGGTCTCCTCAGAAGACTTTTGAAACTCTTCTACCTTGAGTGACAGAGGTGGAAGAGTTTCCATCTCTTGCCATCTGCTTTGTTAAACCGGAGGAGAGGAAGGAAGTGAGTTATATCCTAATAGCTGATGGAGGGGAGCTTGTTTGGTTTAAAGAGCCCCTTCCAGTCAGGAGGGAGTGAGCAGAGAGTTCAAAATCCTTTCGGTTGTGTCCCCTTGAAGCCCAGCTCCTACCTGGAACACCGTCATGATGGCTGCAGGGAAAGTATCAAAGTTGGCCGATGGTGTCCCATCGATGAAGTTAAACCTGGAAGTGGAACCGGGAGTACATAAATGGGCTGGAGTATCAAGGTCATCAAACCCCTGACTGCTGTGCTATCAGCTCTCTTGTGCTTAGCAAGACTTTTCCCCACTTTACAGAAGGTCTCCTGAGCATTTGGTGCCAGAACCAAAAGATGTCCTTGGCAGAAGGACCCACACAGCCCAGAGGCACTTACCTGAGCAGGGACTTCTGTATGGGAGAGGTACCACTATTAGCAGCACGCTGAGGGGCAAGGCTACAGTCTTTCTAGGCACCTAAGAGGGCTTTAATGCCAAGAAATTCCTTTTCTCTGGACTTAAAACAACTCACCTGCCTCCAAACAGCTGCATTCCCAGCAGGGCAAAGACTACAATGAAGAGGAAGAGGAGGAAGAGCAGGCTGATAATAGATTTCATGGAGCTCATCAGCGAGACCACCAAATTCCTCAGGGATGCCCAGTACCTAGAAAACAGAGACATTGCTGGAGCACTTACAGTGATGCTGACAGAAAAGCAAGAGTGACTGAATCTGGATGGCAGCCACAGTCCAAGATGAAGGTGACAGGCACAGACAGTTTGTACATACTTGGTTATTTTAAATATTCGCAGGAGACGAAGGGCTCGTAGGACACTGATCCCGAAAGAGGTTCCTGGCCTGAAGATAGCCCAAACCACTTCAAAGATGCTTCCCACTGTGACCTGAGAAGCAGACACAGCCATGAGTCAGACAGACTCAGGACAGGCTGTTGCAGGAAACCTTCACATGCCTGAAGACAAGGCACCCACCACCCTGCCCAAGACCTGGTGTCTCGGTCTGGCACGGGCAAGCAGTCCCGGCAGAAAGGGTTCTCCTGCTCACTGTGAGGGCCATCCCATTCTTCCATCCCTTGGCGCCTTGCACTGCAGGCATCTGCCAAACATCTTCCCTGCCCCAGCATCCCTGGGGCCACTTACCCCACAGTCAAAGCAGTTGAAGGAAGAATGGAAGTAAAGGCGCGGCCCCATCCCATACATCTTTAAGGACATCTCCAGGAGGAAGAGCCCAAGAAACAGGAACTCTGCATAGTCTAAAAGAGAAAACCCAAACGTGCTACCCTTGGGGCACCGAGGTGTGTGGAGCATTCACCCACCAGTAACCCATATAGCACACTACAGAGACAGGACAAATCGAGGACCATGCTGCTTTCCCAGGCTCTCAGGGTTTGGAGTGAGGGAATCTTGTCTGTGAGGAGCTAAATTGTATATAACAGAGCATTAACCCCACAAGTTAATCTTTCAGAGTAGGTGCACCTCCCAGGGGTTTGAGAAGACCAGAGATGGCTGGCATGGAGCAGAGCAGCTCTTCAGCATTATACGACAAGTGGTTGAGGTGTCTGCAAAGACATTAACCACACAACACTGTAGGGGAATATTAGCAACCTGGATTTAAACCATTGCACAGACGGAACTTGGCCAGGAAAACTGATCCAAACAGCCAAGAGCCAGTGAAAAGCTTCTCCAGCTATTCCATGAACATTAGTCTGGCTCTTCACCCTGTCCAAAAGATGCTTCTCACCATGACCAGCTGCCGTACCACACTGTGGCACGCTGGGATACTAGCCGGCCTGAGCATGCTAATGCAGATTTAGGCAGGCCCAGTGCTTGACGGGGACATTTTCAAGGTGAGTAAGAATGACACAGCTGAGAAAGCAGCACTATCCCTACTGGGGCAGCTCAGGAGTAACACAAAGCTGCCGTGGGGCCAACCACATTGCTCTGCAGTTAGCACCACACTAGAACAGACATGGAGGCGCTACTTCTGAGACCTGACCTTGCACCACGGCCCATGGTACGCTGGGGGATGCTTTAGTAACTAGTTTCAAGCTTGGGATCTCCATGCCATGCTCTGCACCAAAACTTTAACCAGAGGGTTCTCCCATGACCAACCCCTGCAAACTCATGCCTGTCCAGCAATTACTTGTAAGCATTCAAAGACAGATCTCCAGCAAGCTTTCTGTCACCACAATTTTAGGATAAACCCAACTGAGACCTGCAGTGTATTTCTCTCACTTGACAAACCCTTTGGACCTGAAGGGCATGAGGCCAGTAAATCTCCACATTTGCTCACAGGGCTGAGACAGCTGTTGGTGGCCATAAGGCCAAGGGCAAAGCTGAATTAAATGGCTGTACATGGTCCTTTGTTATCAACAGTGAATATAGTTCAGGTTATTCCCCACCCAGCTCTGTACCACTATGACTCTGATGGGATTCATCCTCACATGCACTCAGGCAAGGAACAAGGGCATGCTGCAACCTCCAGCTGCTGGAGATAAGAAGGTTGCAGGAAGTTTTGCCTGCCCACACGGTGCTCTCACACCTACACAAAGCCCAGGGACTCACAGAGGAAGTGAGTGAGCCAGGCTGGCTGGTTGTGATGTACGATGGCCACACAGGCAGTGTTGAGAGCCACCAGGCTCAAGACGATCCAGTAGAAGACCTGGGATTTCACCATGTGGCGAACAGAGATGCGCAGGAGTCGCTCCTTGTGCCGTAAGTAGGAGGCACCATCCACTCTGGCGCCTTTGAGGCCAGAGTGACTCAAGGGGTTGCCTAAGGGAAAAGAGGGGGGAGAAGGAGTTGGGTGCTCCAGTCAAGGTGAGAGAAGGAGTTGGGTGCTCCAGCTTTCCCTGCAACATGAGACAGGACAGACGGTTCACAGACACTGCTCTTATGGGACACAACTTATCCAGACAGTTTTTATGTGGCAGAGGGGGCAGCAGGTCGTTTGTCCCCTTTGCTGCCAAACTAGCAGAGATGGCTGATCTGTAACAGTCTCCGCATGATAGGTGCGACCCTGGCAACTCAATAACCTGGCAGAGGTTTTGGGGAAGCAAGGTCCAAACTGCACTGACCCAAGGTTGGATGAAGAGGTCTTCTCTGCGCCAGCCTCCGCTCGCCCACGGAGGAGATATCAACACAGTGCTCGTCACTCGAATCACGGTTCATGGCATCCGTCCGGTTCCTTTTGATGGTGGCTCGCCTGAGCACTGGGAAGTGAAGAGGAATGGACGTTGGAGCCATGGTAGCCCAACTCTGCCACTAGCCAGCCCACTGGACCAGGACCTGGTGATCAGTACTTAGCTAACTCTGCTCTGGTAACAGGTCAGAGATACCCAGGTGATCCTAGTCCAGAGCTATTCCTTGTGTGGGACCAGACCTCCTGGCCTCCATGTTCTCTCAGGGGATATATTGTCAATCCAACTCCCCACACCCCTCTCTTGGGCTGCAGAGCCCACTGGGGCATCCCCAGACCTCCCATCACAGATGGAGGGTTTCAGCCTCCAGCTACAGGCAGGCAGAAGGAATGGCAGGCAGATTTTTAGGCAGGGCATTGCTTGTCTTACCTTCTAAGGCTGAGGTTCCAGAATTTTTGTTCTCTTCAGCCAGCATGACTTCCTCTACGCAAAACACACAGTTGAGCATCAGGCAACAAGACACAGGTGGCTGAACACATTAGACCTCACTACCTTGTACCTAAGCACTTTGCCCAGCATGGAGTTGGTTGCTCTAGGTTGCAAACTCTTGTCAAGCATTGTGTCCAAAAGCAAATTCTGGAGGGTGGCAAGTGGTAGCTACCACTCATTTCATCAGAAAGAAAAATGACTTTCAATCAACACTTCTTCCTCCACTCTAATTAACCTGGCTGAAGTCAAACACTGTAGACAGGTTTGGGGGCCAACATCCCAACCCAGGACCAAAGCTGAGGTCTGGGGCTTGGGGTTTGTTTCAAGACACCCATCCTTTTTCAAGTCTGAATGCTAGATGGAAGTTTAAATCTTCCCTTCTCAGAGCTGAACGCATGGACCTGATCCCCAGGTAGGGCCAGGAAGGACACAGGCTGTGGCAGTTTGGGGACCAGCACCCACAGGCTATCATGCCTGGCTGGGCGTCAGCAGGAAGCCTGGGAGCTTCCATCACCCCCAGCCCTTGCCCAGGTCCAGGAGCCCCAAGGCGGGAACCGGTTAAGTGCATTCCCTCCAGACTGATCCAGGTTTAGCTGGAAAACCACCATCTCTTTTCACTGCTCTACTCTCTCACTGCCCACTACTGCAGGGGACTCCAGCAAATATCAGGAGAAAGGAAACCATTGCAGAGAAAAGCTCACAGCTGTGATGCTCACAGCCTCCCCTGGAGATGTAATATGCCTCATGTTCAGAATATGACTGTTTCAGGCCACAACACATGAGGTTTCATCAGCTATTGGTGATGTCTTTGCTTGCATTCTGGCTGAACCATCAGACCATCCGCGGCCGAGCTCACCCATGCACCTAACGCCACCACCTTGGTAGCACCTGTGCAACTTTGGGTGCACTGGATGATACTCAGGTGCCTACTGTCCCCCCAAGACCTGCCCTGTCCCACCAGCCTTTACCTGCTTTGTCTATCCAGGCCCGGTAGCCATTGAGCTCGCGCTCGATCTGCTGCTGGCGCCGCAGCTTCATGAAGGCTCGACGGTTCTCCACTCGTTCACGCTCTTTGGCAAACTCCCTGCAGAAGGGCAGAGGGGGGCGATGAGAGCATGGCCAGGGGACAATGTCCCCCCAAGACCTGCCCTGTCCCACCAGCCTTTACCTGCTTTGTCTATCCAGGCCCGGTAGCCATTGAGCTCGCGCTCGATCTGCTGCTGGCGCCGCAGCTTCATGAAGGCTCGACGGTTCTCCACTCGTTCACGCTCTTTGGCAAACTCCCTGCAGAAGGGCAGAGGGGGGCGATGAGAGCATGGCCAGGGGACAACAAGGTGCAAAGGAGTGGCAGCAGAGGGCCAGGAGGGGAGGCAGGGACAAAGGGCAAGCATCAGCCAAGGGCTGCTGGTGAATGTTGGGGAGATGCACAGCCACCCCCAGCCAAAGCATGGCCCAGGGATGGGTGAACAATCAGAGAGGAGGAGAGGCTTCTGTGCAGAAAGGCACAGATGCACATGAGCATCCCCTGCTTGAGTTGCTCAGCCCTGCATGCCCCCAGCTGGGAGCCACTGCCATTCAGGGAGGATGCTCCCAGTGCCACCCTACTCCAGAACCAGCTCAGCTTCTGTATTCCCCTTCAGGGAATAAAAACTGGGCACCATGCAGAGGCAGCAAGGGGATGGAGGAAGACAGGTCCTGTGCCCCAACTCTACCTCCTCCGAATCTTTTTCTTTTCAGACTCTTCTTGGAGTATTTTCCCAAGACTTGAGACATCCCTGGTGTTCTTCTCTGGACTTCAGTGTCTCATGCGAACTGTCCAGGTGTGACAACCAGTCCAGAGAAGAACAACAGCTTGGTCCAGCTCTGCAGCAGGCATGAGGGCAGGCAGCACCGCACAGGCTCTGCAGCTAGGGCTATATACACCTTCTCATATGCAGTTAAAAGACAAGACCATACTGGCAAGCATGATCTGCTTTCTGGTTTACACACACCTGTGGCCATATGCAGAAGACCCATGTATGCAAAGGCCATCACACACACAGAAATGGAAATATCTGGCAGGAAACGCAGGGGTGGCAATGTAGGTAACCTCACACCCACACCAGCGGTTGCATGTGAGACGACATGGCTAGACCTCCTTCTAGGAGGTCCCACACCCTGTGTTTGCACACACTGTGTACCTGGGGCATCTCGACCTGCACACTATACCTCTATTGATGATCATATTTGCACACAGGGAGCATGCCTCACATCAGACATCCCCCCAGCACACCCTTCCTTACTTGCAACAACATCAGGGGGATGCAATCTGCTGGCTGCAGCTCCCCGTCCCATATCCCAAGCCCCGGTGTCCACACAGCCCCAGCTGCACAGAGGAACTCAGCCCGTGCCCTCAGCTCCCTCACAGTCCCAAGCTGCTCGAAAGGAAGCATGATTGCAAAGAACAAATGACACTATTCTCTCTGCAAGATGAACATTTCTCTCCCCAGAGACTAGCAGAAATCTCCATCCTCAAAAAAAATATTCAAAAGAATGGAAAGCATTGGTCTGTCTGCTGCAGAGAGAGTTCAAGTGCATTACCCAAGCTGAGCTATTACACCCTTAATGCTGTGTGGGCTTTTGCATGTATGTGTGTTTGTGCGCGCGCATGCGCGCATGTTTGTGTGAAAAGCCCTGAATGTTCCCTGCATCTCTTAAGATCCCCAGACAATTCAAGCATTTTTAACTCCACCCCAGGAAGGTGAAGTTTCCTGCCGCTCTGGCATTAAGCACCAAACGACTCTCCCCCTCCATCGCTGGCTTTCAGACTGAAATGAGACTTTCTTCCTAGGGCAGGGAAGGGGGAAAGAACAAAAAGCAAGGAAGAGAAAAGCAGCCTGAGTAGAGTGAAGGTTGGGAGGAGACGGGGAGAAGGAAGGACCTCCCACAGCCAACAGCGAAACGCACTCTCAGTTTTGGGCATGCCATGCCAAAAACACTCCTTGCCCTAGCTGGAGTGAAGGCAGGACCATTTTGGCTGTGCCATCATCCCTCACCAGCCTTTGCTAGAAAATTTGCGACATCAAGAAAAGAGAAGATGCCATTTGCAGCCAAAGTTAGAGGGGAAATTGCCTCTCTCCCTCTGGTTTGGTCTACTAGTCCTCCTGTGCTCTGGAACCTCTGTCCCACGGGTCATAACGCCATACCAGCCAGCACACTGGCAGAACTTTTGCCAGCCAAACCTTGCAGATATATTCTGTGACCAGGAGCACCTGGAAATCTTCCCCTGCTTTATACCAGCTGGGAATCTGGCCCTTCTCTGCTGCCTCCTGCTTGCCCATCCCTCTGTCTTCCAGCTCCTCCTCTGATGAGGCTAGTGTCTCCTTTTGCTGTGCGGTGAGAGAAGCTATCACCATGTGTCCACAATGAAACCCAGCCAGAAGGACCAGCTAAGCTTCAAATTGCCTTTTCCTGGAGAAGGGAATGGGAGCATCTTTTCCAGTGTCCCCCTCACCAAGCACCATTTTCCCCTACCCAACCATTGGCTCACAGAGCCCTAATTTGCCAGAAGCTGGTGCCACAGGCATCCAGGGACAAGGCCCATGTAGCTGCGGCAGCGTCTCAGAGGGAGATGCTTCCCACACGCTTGATCCCTAATGGAGCTTAATTGCTTTTGTCCATTAGAAGGAGGAAGGGGTGGCAGAGAAGGGAGGGGAAAAAATAAAGTTAAGCTCAACTTAATGAATTATTACATTTCAGAGAGACACGTTACCGAGCAGGGCAGCAGCGGGGGCTGGTGACATCTGAGAGTGGGTAGGCGATGCTGACAGATCAAGGATTGCTCAGAGCCAATTTGCAGCAGCGGGTAGAGATAATACTCTATGTGAGTGAGAACAGGGCCAGCGACGGTGACTGACAGCCGCTTGGGAAGGTTCCAAGTCACAGGCAGGGTGGCATAGCATTGCCGAGAGAGACGGATGCCTGCCTCCCATTGAAAGGCTCTGCTTCCTGGTGTGCTTGGGTTACTTCGCCAGGGATGGCCCAATTTTGCCTCACAAAGAGCCCAGGTCTGTGCTGCCCCACGGGGTCCCATGCTCAGAGGACCCCAACAGACAGCATGGTTCCCATGAGCAACACCTCTGCTGCCCTCCTGGCTCTTCTGGCCACAAATCCTGATGCCTCCAGCATGAAAACATCCACCCATGACTGCCAACCTCCATTCATGCCGACTCTGTGTCACTGCAGCCCTTTCCCATTGGGCCTCATAAAGCCGAAGGCACACAACAAGCAATGAAGATGGGCGCTGAAGGTCACGGTGGGAGCTGGGAAGCAGTGTGCCATCTGTCCTCCTGCAAGCAAGGGCACCATCCATCCACAGGCCATGCCCAGCCTGCTGGGGCAACTGAAGCACAGATGGTTCACTCATCCTCTGCCTGCAATTCCTCCTCTACGGCCTTGGCATTCCCCTCACACAGCCTGAGAGTATCTCTGCTCCCAGCAGGAGACCTTGGGGGACATCACTGCACTCAGCCACCTTCCTTCCTGGGCCCCCACACCCTTGCTCTCATGAGGACGGCAACGCTTTTACTACATCAGTGTGCTCTGCTCAAAGGACTGGAGAGCCCAGGCCTGGTTTTAATGGGAGAATAACTCACATGGAAGCATCCAGCTTGAAAATGTGCCCCCTTTTTGAAGAAAAAAAAAAAAAACACCAAAAAAACAAAACAACCAAAAAACCAGGTTGGACACAGCTCTGAGCAACCCGATCTACCTAAAGATGTCCCTGCTTGCTGTAGGGCGGTTGGACTAGATGACCTTTAAAGCTCCCTTCCAACCCAAACTATTCTGTAATTCTATGAAACCTAACCACAAGAAAACCAACAACCAAAAACCAGTTAAGAAAAAAAAATCACAGATGCTGCAAACTGCTTTTCTCCTTTTTGCAGCTTCTTTGAGTCTAGAGTGGGTATAAAGTGCTGGTCACATCAATATTGTGGCTCCCATGCTTTGAAACAACAAGCCAACCATCTTCAAACCCATCAATTCATCGTCTTTTGCCACTGTTAAAGTCACCTCCAACAAACCAGTTACCAAACAGGTAACAGGTCTTAAAACAATATGAGGCAGCAGAAAGGATGGAGTGGGAAGAGGAGAAATACTGGATTACGTGCTGAGGATGAGGCAGCAGCACCATGCTGCTGTGAAAAGAAAACATATATAATGGGATGTATAACAAGGAACACCATCTGTAAGACATCAGGTAAGACTGCTGCTCTCCTCAGCACTTGCGAGGTCTCAGCTCATGGCTCCGCTTCAGGTTTGAGCAGCACAATTTAAGGAAAAAACGCCTTCAACTCCAGGAGGGTGTCAGAGAAGGTTATGGGACAGAACTGACAACAGACGGTTTGGAAAACATCGATGAGACAGTTGCAAACCAGGGAGATCAGATGGTATTTACCCAAGAGGTGTAAAGGAACTAAAGAAATAGGGTTGAACTAACTGTGCAGTCTGTAACCTGGTGTTTCAACTTAAACAGACGGTGGCAAGCAGGCACTGCAGAACTGGCATTGCAGACTGGGATTATTGCACTGAACTGACAGCAAAGGCTAAAGCAGGGTGCTCAAAAGGTACAAAACCCTCTGCAGATGGAAGATGTGCTTCAAAGCAGGTCTGCTTTGAAGGAGGCAATAGACTTTTTGGATAAGGGTAATCGCTTGATTAAAGTTCACTTGAATCGCTAGAAGAAGTCAGAGAAGATTCAAGGTCAGGTTGGACAGGGCTCTGAGCAACCTGATCCAGCTAAAGATGTCCCTGCTCACGGCAGGGGGGCTGGACTGGATGACCTTTAAGGTCCCTTCCAACCCAAACTATTTGATGATTCTATGCTTCTAAGATTCTTTAATGAAGCTAGACTGTCTCCAGAAAGTCTTCCCATGAAGTACTAACAGGTGAAAAGAAAGCATAAAAAAAAAGGAAACCAGAAACATCCTATTTTTTGTATTCCCTTTTAGGGGTGGTCATTAGCTCTTGATCATCCCTGTGTACTTCAGCAAGAGTTATGTGTTCACCATGTTGTGACAACACTGCAGCAAGAAGCGGAGCGTACAGCTGACGATGCTAAAGAGAACACATTTACAGAGTGCCGGCAGACACAAGAGTTGGGGAATGAAAAGCTGACAAGCTGTTGGCGACATCAAACAGTAAAATGGGAAGGAGCTGCAAGATACCAGCCCTGAGATTACCCATTACATCACTGTCCCATTTAAGAAGGGGCAGTTGCCGATGGTTACCTTCTACTTTGGAGA